TGTATATAAAGGTACTCAATGAACTAGACCACTAAATAGTAATTGAATAATAGTTAATTCTCAAATCATTTTAAATGTAAATCATTCTAATTAAAGTCTGGTGAAATTTAATGTCACATTTTAGTGAAATTTCGTGAGACAATTTAGCACAACTCCCAGAACAAATTTTCCCGAGACTGGCCTAACTTTCCTCAATTGCCTGGCTTGGCAACCGTGAATTAAAGAATAATTTTCAGACGACACAGTCAACGTTTCCACTCAATTACCCGTTCTAACAAACCTTTTTTCCCGCAGCGGGAAAAACGTGCCTCAACTCTTTTGTGTCTGCTTATTTTTGGCCACAAACATTTCAAGCACGCAATAAATAAAAGCAAGCGAAATCATTAAGAAGAGAGCAAAGTCCTCAAAGGTTTATATGGACTACTAATACGACTAGGGCCCTAAATCAAACGAAGAATCGCTTTTGTCTCGGGACTAGCCAAAAATTTGCGTAATTTCTGCATTAATTATTATGAAAAAGTTGAGACCCAAAGAAAATTCGGCTGGGGGCGTGACAGGCACCCCCGCTATAGAGAAAAGTTGCATGTCTAGCTGACATAACGAAGGAAAGCTTTTGTTTCCACATTGAAAACGGATTGTCTTCCATCCACTGATTGACTCTGCCCTCAATCTGTCGCTGTCTGAAATTGAGTTTTACCCAGATTGAATTGATAGGATCCCCGGAGCTGGGTTAGTGGGTTGACAAAGTTCAAGGTTCAAGGCCTCTCGGCAAAGGCGGAAATTGATTTCAACCTGTATTAACTGTTCCACTTCCGTTCTTTTCCCACTTCCAGGTACCAAGAAGATGGAGTACAAAACCCGGCAGTGGCACGAGAACTGCTTCTGCTGCTGCGTCTGCAAGACGGCCATCGGGACCAAGTCCTTCATCCCGCGGGAGCAGGAGATCTACTGCGCCGGCTGCTACGAGGAGAAGTTCGCCACGCGCTGCATTAAGTGCAATAAGGTGGGGGAAATACAAATAAAGGGCTTAAATTGTAGGATTTTAAATGGTTTAATACCACATAGAAGAGGTCGTTTGAAATGTTCCTAAGCCCTTATGGTACTTACTTAATTTTTAACTAACTGACTGAATTTTTTATAAAAAATTAAACAAGGTAAGAAATATTTGAACATACATTCATAAAATGTATTCATTTATTCAATTTATTTATTATTTATACATATATACCCCTATTCTCTGGGTTTCCATTACCTTTTAAAATAAATACAGATGGTCAGTCTAAAATCAAGCAAGTGTCATAAGGCCCTTATAAGCGGAACTAATAAATCAGCTCTGCTTCAGCATTTGTTTTTATTTATATAGTAGACAACTGTTTGGTCAACTAGTTTATATGCCTATTTTATATAAATTATTTTAAACTCTTAATCGCATATCATAAAAATAAAGTGAGAAACTTAAAAGAACCTTCAGAAAGATTAGCTAAAAGACTTACTAATATCGTAGAACATAACATTTACTTTGTACAAATTTTAATATGATCTTTTTTTACTAATGATATAATATATTTTCCTTATATCTTAGGTCATCACCTCGGGAGGTGTTACCTACAAGAACGAGCCGTGGCATCGCGAGTGCTTCACGTGCACCCACTGCAACATCACGCTAGCTGGCCAGCGGTTCACCAGCCGCGATGAGAAGCCCTACTGTGCCGAGTGCTTTGGCGAGCTGTTTGCCAAACGTTGCACGGCCTGTGTGAAGCCCATAACAGGTGAGTGGGATAACTGAGTGGTACACCAACCCCAACTGATTTTATTTAATTTTCACCATCAGGAATTGGCGGCACACGCTTCATCTCGTTTGAGGATCGCCACTGGCACCACGACTGCTTCGTGTGTGCCAGCTGCAAGGCCAGTCTGGTGGGTCGTGGCTTTATCACCGACGGACCCGACATTCTGTGCCCCGATTGTGCCAAGCAGAAGCTGATGTAAGCCATCTGTCTGCGACGAGTCAGGAGGTGTGGGTGGGACGAGGGAGCTGTGGAGCAGCCAGCTTAAATTAGCCATAAACAAATTCAACGAAATTATGGATCAAATCAGAGGGATACAATTGAAAAACGAGAAGGAGGATTGGGAGGAGTATATACACATGTATTAAAACGATATACAAGAGAAGATAATGCCTTACACTTACATTAGATATGAGAGAAATCAGCTGAGCCAGGAGACGTTGAGTCCTACTAAATCAAAAGCAAATCAAATTTTGTAAAACTTCAAGTCGATAGAGTTAGCTAAAATCTATATGATAACTTTGCTTTATCTTCGCACGAGTAGAGCAGCACATCGGATTGTATAGAAACTTATTATTTGTAATTGCATTTCAGATCGAAATCAAAAAACACTAAACAAACCACAAAAAAAAATGGAAAAACCCAAAAAAATCTATATGAATTACTGAACCAATTGTAACTATTGTTGCCACATTGAAAAATGTATGTTTATTTATTTATTTTAAGTTTTAACCAAGCGACGAGCGAGCCGAATGCGATGAAAGTTTCCTAACCGCGGGTTTCAGTTCTAAACAGTTCTATTGTATTAAAAACCACACTCGATTTATGTTTGATATGTATTGTATGTTTATTAAACAGCAACAAAAACAACACACACGCACACAGACACAAGTCCTAGCAATTTAATTGTTTAGTTTATATTATTTTCGTTTCGATATTTTGTCATTCTACGTATGTTAGAGACTCCGCTTACTTCAAGCACTAAATACACACACACACAAATAATAATGATAATTGCGACACAACATTATATCAATGTCCTTAACTATTTAATGAAATTCAATCTAAATAAATTAATAAATTATCAATGACTTTGGGTTTGTTTTGGTAAGAGGCTTTGGAAGAACTCTAAAGCTAAGAAGATGGGGTGAAAAAAATGATAGTCCATGGAGTATTTGAGGAAGGTATTCAGTATTCTATAAAATCAAAATTGTGACAATTCAAATGTTGCCAACGGTTTTTTGTGTGACCATTCCGTTTATTGTTGGTGTTGCCAGACTGGTCAATAGAGATGATCCCAATTTTTGGAGCTTCAATTAACATTACCTTAACATTTGCTTTGGTCTTAAGCAACAGGTGAGGTGCCCTTTACGTCGACCCCGACTTATACCCTACTTTTTATCCTACACAATTAAAATATCGCTTAACTATTGTAAATAAATAGTTTCTGATAAATTTTGTGTTAATTTTAAATAACAATTTTTTATGACTTTTATTAATCCTGAATATTACCTTTATACCAAAAACCCTTAGGAAGAAGACTTGCTAAATAAACAATGATGACACACATTATTTATGTTTACTTATCCTTACATCTAAAGTGCTTAAGTATTTCTTGGACCACTATAAAATTACATCTTCTCTCTTCGCAAACATTTTGTATATACGCAGCGAGTGTGAACCCTTCTCATCTCTTTTCAGGGAATATAACACTTTCACTGCACGATAACCCAGTCGATATTGGCAATACACATCGTTTTCGGGGCCAGTCGAAGAATAATATAACAGAAAATTGACAAATAAATGCAAATAAGTAACTCAAACAGCTCAAACAACTCAAAACCAAAGCGCAGCGAGTGCTCAGGGCACGTCTCAAAGTTGGGATTGGGCTTATTGGCCATGTGCCAAGCCAAGCGCCTAACCAAACCGAACAAAGGTAAATACAAACAGTGCTCCATTACACTCAAAATGCGTAAAAAAATATGGTAAAATGTGGAGAAAAAGCGCAGCAGTTGGAATAAGTTCGTTGGCCAAGGCGAAGCCGAAATTAGTGCAACCTCAGGCCAGGGCCAGAGCGGATCTCCAGGGAACGTCCACCATTCGAGATGCATACGATCTATATGACGCTGGGACTGGGGCTGATCTCCACTGCCCTTCAGGCGGCCATTCTCCCACTGACCCTGATCAAAGACGGCGTTGAATCGAATCAGGCCCTGCCCATGGATACGGAGAAATTCGGTTATCTGGAGTTCAAGCCCAATGGTTCCCTCATTCTCAGAAGGGCTCCCAACCAGAGTGGCAGCAACATGCAGAATCTTCTAATGCTACGAGGAATTCTTCAGGCCCTCAAGCTGAACCCCTCAAAGATTGCCGAAACTAATGGCGAAACGCGATTCGAATTTAAGATCTATGGAGATGGTGTGGAGCACAAGTTTCCGCCCATATTGGAGAATATCATCCAACGCATTCAAACTTACTTTTCGGTCTACCGCTATACGGACACCAGTAAACCCCTGCAGCGTATTGAACCCACTATCAGCGAACCGACGGAGGATTCTACGGATGTAACTACCCTAAGAACAGAGGACCAAGAAGAACTGATAGTCGTGGGAGAACAGGATGCATATATTACTGTGGGAGATGACACGGATTAGTCATCGCTCTATTTATTAAATATTTATACTCCTAGCTAAGTAAGTCAATAAAAGTGCCGTACTCAAGAAAGTTTTTAAATATATTTCACCCTCATTCGTGAATAACGGGGCACGTTTTGGAGTTACTTTGTATGCAGTGCTGTGAATCGGGCGATTTATGATTTTATTTACCAGACCGTGTAATAGTTGCAATATTTTTATGTTGCCGGGGAATTTGAGGACTGCGCAAGTAGCTTCCCAAATATTGAGGGTCATTATCATTACGTAATCGGGAGTAAAGGTGCCTCAATAAAATGTCCCTATAAAAGTGAAAACATGTCGAAGGATTTCACATGAAACTTAAGGTCGGTAACAGACATTTTCTATAACTTTAAGGCTGGTAAAAATTATGATTGAAATATAATCAAATTAAAAAATTATATGTTTAATCAAAGGTAACTCTAATAGTTACAGATCTCTTTCTTTATGATCTTTTCCCCATTTATAAAGAAGCTTAATTTTCCCATATTTATGTCCCCAGCCATCTAGAACTTCCACTCCCTCCTTTCTACATTTTACATTCACTTTTTTATTGTTCTGTTTTACGTTTTCAATGTTATGGTTAATGAATATGTAATGATGATGATGAATACGAACGTTTCGTGATGATAATTATGAATGAATGTCTCTTTCTCGTTTCGCTTCTGTTAATTAATGTCTGGAAAATGGAAAATGTGTGCGGATGCGTGTGTTCTGTGTTAGTAATTAAATGTACGATTGGTGGGTGATGTTGGATGTGGGTATACCCCGTGGCCCGGTCATCTTCTGTGCCGGGCCAGCGATGAGAATCAGTCGAAGAACCAAAGCTGCCCAAGGGATGAGTGAGATTCAGAGATGAGTTCTGGTTCCGGCCGGGGCTCTAAGCCTGCGGCACAATGGCATCGGCGATGATCTCGGCATTCTGCGCCGGAATGATCTGCTGGATCTCCTGCTGCTTCGGCTGCTGTTGCTGCTCGATGGCCTGGATGGCCTCAGCGGGCAGGGTCTTGGTCAGGGGCTCAGGCTGGATGGTCTTGATCAGGGGCTCAGCCTGAATGGTCTTGATCAGCTCCTCCTGCTGCTGAATCTTAGCTGCTGTGGGGAGATATCATAGTTAGATGGGTTAAAATTGGAAAACCCTAATTACTCACAATCCTCCTTCAGTTGCTCCTTCGCAATCTCGGCACCTTTCAGTTCCTGCTTGATGGCATTGCTCTCCAGGAGGCGTCCTGCAAATTCAGCCTTCTGCTCGCTGGCATCGGGAATGATGGGCTTCTGCTCCGAAGACACCTTCTCCAGGGGCTGTTCCTTGAGCAGTGGCTGTGGCTGCTCCTTCAGCAGGGACTGCTCCTTCAGCAGGGACTGCTCCTTCAGCAGGGGCTGTTCCTTCAACAAGGCCTGTGGTTCCGGCTCAGCCTTCAAGGTCTGCTTCAGAGCAGGCTCGGCGGCTGTCAACTCCGCTTCCGGTTCCTGCTGGATGCTGCGTGCACGAATGGCGGAAATGGGCCAGGTGTAGAGGGGTCCATGGACCACATCCACCACTGGGGTGTGATACACCTGGGGAATGCTGTAGAAGTGTCTGGCCTCGGTGGCAATCAAAGGCTGCGTATTGGCAGGCGTTTCGATCAGCTCAATCTTATCGCCCTTCAGACTCTGCAGCAGTTGCTGCTCCTCCTTCTTGGAACCACTGGGCGGGAACAGGGAGGGGAAGAAGCCCGCACCGGCGGAGGCTGCCGATGCCGCCGCCTCGCTCAATTGGCCACTCACGATCTCGACTCCCTGTTGGGAAACCTGTTGGATCTGGTTGGCAATCTCTCCCGTGTTCTCCCACTGCTTGGTCTCCGGAGCACCGCCAGCGCGGCCAGATCCCACGGCATCCACCACTGGCACCACCTGGGCAGTAGATCCGGCCGGGACATAAACGATGGTCTCCTCATGGTGGTGGGGCGAGGACACGCGGGCCAGGGGCGACAGTCCGTGGACGTAGCGGAGGGCTGGCTCCAGATGAACCTGCGCCTGCGGGGTCACGATCACGATGTGCTGGGCCGTGGGCTCCAGGGGCCTGGCCTGACCGCCCATCGCCGTCAGAGCCAGGCAAAATGCCGCGAGAAGGAACATTCTGCAAGAGGGGGAGGGGTTAAGATCAATCGAAAAAGATCCAAGATTTCTAAAAAATTTCTTAAGAATTTATTTATAAACTTAACTGATATCATTATTATTTGCTAAGTGGTCTAGTTAATTAAAAATACATGAAATATTCGTATATTAAAGTACATTTCAAAATGTTTCTCCATTAAATAAATATATTTATATAATTAGTTAGAACCACCTTGAAATTGTAATATCTTATATCTATAGTTTAACTTTTGACTTATATTTTTTTGGAACTCTGAAAATTATTATCTTAAAAGAGTTTCCTTTAAAAACAATTTTGCGTTTTAAAAAACTTCAAGAGGGTTTTAATTGTATAGTTGCAATTGCACGACGTTCGGTTCAGGATGGCTGAAGCTCGACCGTATAATATATGTACCTATCCTCTTTTTGTCCCGAGTGCTGCAAACGGGTCTAGCCGATGGTTTATTTTTAGCCACACCAAAGTCCATTCTAAATTTAACGTTATTCTGCGCGACTGTGTGTGTCCGTGTGTAATTGCATGTTGCTGGTCGGACAGGATGCTCCTCGAACGTACATGGATCGAGGGACTATCAACCGGTTTGCAATTGATTGGCCAGGCCAATGGAACTTCTTCGCCGAGCACTTCTAGTGTAGATACTAGCTAATGACAGGGAGCAGCTTTATGGCTTAAATCGGTACTTGATAGTCAAGTTTGCCGTTCCCCACCCCTCGAAGAATGTTCTTTGTGTGGTCCAAGTACTTGGCAAGTTCGTTGCGTAAGTCTTTTGTTTGTGGGAAAGGAAAATTTTCTTTGGAGCTGGGAAGAAGTTCAATTGGGTGCGCAAACAATAATCATAATCCTAAATCTTGCGAATTAAGATTACATACTAAATATTTATGTTTAAAAATTGTACCCTAGCATCATTAAAAATATGTAAAAAAAAATTAAACAAAAGTTTTTTATAAAAACCCCGATCCTAGTTCTTTCTTTTTATTATAAGAAATTAATTTTAAATTTGGTTTCGTTTTGTTGTTAATAAGCAATTATATAACTAAGCCCTAAATGAATTATTTTTTACGTAGCCTACATTTTATATTAACAACTATGATTAGTAAAAAATAATGCTTTTGATTAGGTTTTAATTTTGGAAGCCTAACTAAAATAATTTAATGAGATATTAACGTTCCTACACACAAAAAAAGGTTATGGGTTAAATCTAACAATACTGATAGTAACGTAACTATTAAAAATAGTAACCTCTAGTTTGTGGTTGCTTTGGTAACTAATTAATAGTAAAACTTCCTAAGATAGTAAGTTGTGTGTATTTTGTTGTTGTGAGCGCAACTATTCCATTGTTAAAGAGACAATTTGATGGGTCGCTCCTATTTAACTTGTATATTGGCCAACATGTTTAAATTCATTTCCTCAGTATTTTTCATAACTCTTGGCCTTCTACTTTGAGAGGTTTACAATCCGTTTCAGCTCTTAATCTCGGATGATTTTACTTTCTTGCGACGATTTTATAGCTTACCTAACCCCCTAGCTCAGAAGGTTAATGTCGTGGCTCACTTGCGACCCCATAAAAGGAATTTAAGAGCTTAGCGAAACCAGCTCGAAGTAAGCTAACTATCGGAATTAAGCCTAGGCGTAACTTTCTCGACCCCGAGACGAGAGTAAATGTAAATTGAATAGCCCCAATCGGGGGACAGACTTACCTTTTAGTGGCTTGATGGCCTTTCACTGCTTTCCCAAGTCTAGGCAGGTAGTTTGGCAGAGTTCTCTTAGGGCCACACGATCCGCAATCCGCTCGAGAAGAATCTAAACTATCACTTGTCGGTCTGAACACAATGGCAGTGCTGCAGGGCTCTTGAGAGTTGAGTGTTAACACGGCGACCACTTCAAGGAAACTGGTGGCCAACGCTGCCCGGCCATGGCCTTTTATAATGTGCGGCCACAGACCCCCTCGCCCTGACCTATGCCAAGAACAAAGAGCTGAAGAACTGATAGAACTGGAAATGCCCAGCTTCCCGCAGGAAAACCGAAGGGGAAACGGGTCCGATGGCCAAAAGGAGCCTGAAAAGCAGCCTGAAAAGCCAACAAAGCTGGCCAGCTTTTCTGGTTTCAGGTTCGCTTGCAGATGGCAGATGGTCAACGTAGATGCGGTCTTGGTCTCGGCCAAGTTCCTAGTCTCTCGGGTCTGTAATAGAAGTCAAGCATGGCATGGGCGATCGCATTGAAGCCGCATTGACGGGTAAAGGTACTCGCATCTGTGAGATGGTAGATGGAGCCAACTGGTTCAGGTGCAAATTGAATGCGTTCTTTCCCGCAGACCGCTCCCCATTCCCCCCTTTCACTGCCCCCTTAGATAATTTATTTTCATGTTGCCTGCCCTGGCGGAAAAGATTAATCAAGATTTGCACATGCTTGCATTCATCCCGCCTCAGATTTTCGCCGTGCGCAATAGCATAAATAAATTTAGATTCGTTATAAACTGTAATCACTTCCCGCAGCAATTAGATGCGTTGCCCTGTCTCTCTGTCACAGTCTTCATATGATCTTGGTTGGCTATTTGTGGTCTTTCGCATGGAAACATCCAGTTCATTGGCCCCTTGGGTTGGTCAGCAACGTAGACGTGTTCCCACCAAGAACTGAATAATTAGGAAGCCCTTACGATCCATAGGTGTAAATTTTAAAGACAAAAGAAAAACTATGGCTAATATATAATAGTAAAAATAAAATGAAATAGTAAAACTACTATTAAATAGAAAGCCGAAGTCGGTCCCAAACAGTCAAAGTCCATTTTTGGGAATAATTCCTGCATTTTAGGTCATTATGTTTTATCAGTGTAACACTTTAAAACAATTTACTCACTTTTAAGCCAGTTATACATTTTTATTTTAGAGAAATGCAAACTTAATATTTCACTACTTTTTAAATGACCAAGTAGTACTTTCTCATAAAAGAAAAATCTATAAATAGAACTATTGTGATTTTCAGATCTAAATTATTGGTAAAACTCACTAATTTATACTTTAACTACAAAAAATTAGTAAAACCACTTTTCAAATAGTAAAACAACTATGAAATTGTAAAATGATTACAAAAATAGTAGGATTAATATAAAGAAGGGTAAAGCTACTGTAAAATAGTAAAACTACTATGATGAGTGTGTACTTTTTTGTTATGAGAGTAACAATTCAAAATAACTATCATATGGCTTTGAACCATTTAATAGTTATATATGTTAATTTAACCAAATTGTTTTCTTTGCAGGAAAAAAGCAAAAAATTTCAATTAAATATGCATATTTTATTGGCAATTCGGGAGCTGGCACACAATATGTTGTACAACGTATACTACAAATCTCAATACGATCTCATTAAATTCAATTTAAATCCAAGTCTAGCATTACTCCGAGTGGAGACGTCGTTTGGGGGCCATGCGGATGAAGGGCGTAGGGTGAGCCGTGGCCATCTTAGTCTGCGCCTGTCTGGCGGCATAATCCTCGGCGATGGCGGTGCGCCACCTTTCCACCAGGGAATCGCCTCCGGAGATGCGAACAGGGACCAGATGCTGTGGGGTTTCCCGGGTCAGAGGGAAGCGGGCCAGGTTCAGGGGCACATCGTTGTAGTCATAGTCTTCGCTGGCCTTCTCCCCCGCAAAATTGGGACTCTTAATCACCAACTGATTCCGAGTGGGCAGGGAAATGCTGAAGGCAGCTGCCTCCTCGGGAGAAACTCCAGCAATGGCGGTGGCCTTGGGCGAGGCTACGGCCAATCCATTACGTCCAGAAAGGGCCACGGCATTGGGCTTGGAGGAGGCCACTCCACCTTCGCCGGCAATTGAGAGACCTGCAGAAGGGATTACCATTAAGGTTAAAAACCCTTTTCTTTAAAATGATTATCTTTCAATCAACCTACCCACTGGCTTGGCCTCAGCCACGGCGGCGTCCTTCTTGGGAGCCATCACGGAGACACTATCGTTGACATCCTCGTAGGGATCCTCGTTGTTGGGCGGCAGGAACTGCTCGTCGGGCGAGAACTGCTGCTCGGTGACCTCGTCCAGCTTCTGTTCGTCGATCTTCTGGTCAGCCGGATTGTTGGTGGCCTCGAGTCCCAAGTTCGAGGGCTGCTGCTGGGGATTGCCGAATGTGTCCGGCTGCAGCAGAACACTGAAGTCCTTGATCTGGCCGGTCTGCTGCAGCATGGCCAAACTCTGGGCAGCCTGGCCCAGTTCCAGCAGGCTGCTGGCATAGACCTTGTTGTCCTCCTCGCTGAAGGAACCTTTGCGCTTGGCCAGCTCCTGAATGGCCACCAGTCGAGCGGCGGCCAACTGGATGCGGTTGAAGTCACTGGCGCTGGCCGAGATCGAGCTGCTGGAGCTACTGGCTCCACTGCCATCGGCGGTGGCGGAGATGCTGGCCGCCGAAATGGTGATGGTGTCATCGGAATCCCTGGGAACAGCCCTCAGCTGCGGCTGCTGGCGCTGCAGGATGTAGCTGCCCAAAGTGCCATCCCTTTGCGGACGCAACTGGAGGAGCTGACCCCTTAATCCTCCATAGTAGGGATGCTCCTCGAAAACCAGCGGAGCCGCCCGCGATCTGTGTCTGCTTGTTGGGGTTAGATATTAGGTTATAGAGAGTGTGTGTGTATTGGGTGTGATTGGATCGGATGTGTTGTGAGTTGCCTGGAGAAAGCGGGGAGTTGGAAAAGCATCTGGATATCTACATGGGATTAGCGGACTACTCGATGACCCAAGGCGAAAGCTGTACAGTTTACGTTTTACTTTATTTACATTCTAGGAAATGACACATTTCTTTGAGGGCCTCGGTTCTTAACATAGGAACATGGGAGAGCTGGGAAAAGGAACTACCATTCAGCTTCAGTTGGTTAAATTATATCATAAGGCCCATTTTCAGCAACCGATTTCTTAGTTACATTTTCTTTACAGTTTAAATTTTTTGTTCCGATTTCTCAATGTCACGTTAAGGTTTAAGTTTGTTATCCGTCAGAGAAAGTTAGGATGAATTCGGTTTCTCAATGTACTGCTAATTTACAGACGACTTATCTTAAATTGACAAATTTAACTAGAACATTTCACCTGGTTAAGAGTTTTCCGTCAGATAAAATGTACCATGATATTGAGAAATCGGCCCCAACTAAAAATCGGTTGATGACAATGAGTATATAACTATCTTAGTTGGTCTCCTTGCAGTCTCTTTACGTGAACAGATCCAGTTCCAGGTCCGCAGTGGCATGTGCCTTGCCGCCCACACCCGCAATGGCCACCGATTCCGGATTGAAGTAGACATTGGTGGGCACACCCCTCTTCAGGTACGCCTTGGAAATGGGCGTGGATATGGCAGTGCCACCATTACCCACCACCGCCTTAGAATGGGGTTCCAGGATGAGGGCCGCCTGCTTGCGTCCCTGGATCGCCTGAGCCTGCTCCGGCCTGTAGGGCAAGAAGTAGTTGCCGAAGGGAATCTGGGGGAAGTTGCTGTTGCTAGTGCTGGTCTTTCCGGTGGCCTCCACTTTGGGGGTAACCTGTTTTTTCAGCTTCTGGGGGGCAATCTTCTTCAGCAGCTGCTGCTTGGAGGAGCGTGGTGACCCCGAGGTGGAGATCACCAGCTTGCCGGGCACCGAAACGATCTCCTCGATCACATAGTCGGGGTTTATTTTGCTAACCGCCGAACGAAGACCCAGATCGCTCTTCAGATCACCAGTATGGGTTCGGGTTCGTGTCTTCTCTGTGGGTAGAGCCTGGAGCTTTTCCGGCTTCTCGATTTCGATCTCGCTGGAGCTGTCATCGGCTAAGTTTTCGGGTCTGCCCGTGGTGGTTGTGATCTCAGCTGTGGTGGGTTGATCAGTGGTGGGTTTGGGTTGCAAGACATATGCCAACGGAAGTTGATAGGCGGCATAGTAGGGTGTCCTTAGGAGTACCGGCTGGTAGGCTCCATAGGGTGTGAGTTCCTGGGCAGGAGCAGATCCCACAATCAGTTTTCCGGACTTCTCGATGGGTGCGACGGGTGCCCCTGGTGGCCAGGCCTCGATGTTGGTGGTGCGCCAGTAGGCACTTGGGTTAGGATAGTTTAGGAATGGATAGCATAGGGGAAAATGGTGGAGAGAGCCGCCGGTTAGTCTGATAATACAATATTTACAGCAACATTTCTAGGGGTTAGAAGTGTGTCGGGTTAATATCATGCGGGATACGTGAGGGTTAATGGGAGGAGTTTAATCTATAACTACTTTATACAGTCTATGTTTATACGATGAAAGCAAAAGCCCAGACATTTACAAAATATGAATATTTATTAAAACACTAGACAATACCAACTATAGATCCTAACTAAAAATGCCAATTAATGGCTATTAGGATTAAGCCTCAGACTCAAACTGTCCCGCCCCCTGTTCCTCCTCCTCCATCGTGGTTGTGCCCGTGGGTGGGGCATAGTAGACCGTGGGTCCCGTGGCCACAATCTTGCCCTCCCGCGGAAAACTCCTCGTCTCCAGATCGGTGCGTGCCAGGGCATCTTTAAGGTCCACATTCGCTGGTATGGAGATCACCTTGGCCCCAGGACCGGCAATAGTGAGACTGCGTGGATGGGTGAGGGCATAGCCCCCGGGACCCACAATTGCCGTACCACCGCTGCCCGCTGTGGCCACGCCTCCTGGACCTGCGATCGCAATGCCGCCCCTGCGCACCTTCAGCCGCTGAATGATGATTCCTCCTTCGCGGAGAGCCTGCTTTTGGGTGCTCTGCTGGGCGGTGGCCACCTGGCCGATGGTGTTCATCAAGTGATGGGTCTTGTGCGCAAACAGGTGCTTCTCCGAGGATGCACTGTTGTCCAGTTCTGCCGCGGTGTTCTCTACGGTGTCCACATCATCGGACATCATACCATCGCCAGCTCCCTCGCTCTCATCCTCCCACTTGTAGTCCACAGATTCGATGGCCTGATTTTTCTCGGGCACATTGCCCATGATCACAGGACCCTCACCCACAGTTGAAGCCGCCATAGGAGGTCGGAAGGGCAGCTTGAATATGTTCTGGAAGGCATTCTTAATGGCCGCCGAGGTTTGGTTCTGCATCTCAGCGATATTCACGCCGGGCATGCGGAAGGGATTCAAGCGATTCCGATTGGGCAGAAGGCCACCGGATGGCGGTAAAGTGGAACTGAGAGGGGCAGGAGCAGATGTGGATTTGATGTTTAGGGATGAAGAACTCTGGGTTATTTGCTGTTCAGCTTCCTTTCCACTCAACCTCACGGGTTTTGCCGTGGAGCTAACCTTTTTTCTGTTCAATGAGCTGAGGGTAATCAATTCTGGTGCCAAACTGGGCTGAATCTTCTGAGGCTGAGGCTTATGTATAGGCTTCTCTCGGGAATCCAACCGGTATTCTTTGAAGTTCACGGAAGTTGGAGTTGGAGATTTCGTAGTGGTGGTAGTGGTTCCAATGGTAGTAGAGTTCCCCCTCTTTGGAGTACCATCCTCGTTAAGGGCCAGTTCGCGGGGCAGGAAGAACAGATGATACTTGGGCGTGGTCTTGCCCTGTTTCCTTGCAGCCTTTCCCTTGCCATAGAAGCTGTCCACGTCGCCTATGATCTTGTAGCCCTTGACCTTGTACTCCTGGGAGGCGTGCTCCTTGAGATACTCGTCCTTGTTGAGTTTGTATAGGTGCACGGGTATGACAAAGTGGGCGGGTAATTGTTGGGCTTCTTGTTCCGAACTGGGTTTGGGCACCTGCACTTGGTTGGGTCGGAAGTACAGCTGGGTCTTCTGCTTCTCCTCCTTGGAGGAGCTCTGTGCCGCGTGGCGCAATCTGGGCGGCAGATTGTAACTCCCTGCCACATTCCTCGTGAGTTTCACCGCCCTAATTGAGGGTTCCAGTAGGGTCTGACCATTACTGCCCTCAAAGTGGTGCTGATGGGCATGGAAGGGCTGATGGGCGGGCTTGGGGAAGAGATACTGACTGGAGTCGAGGATGGGCGGCAGCTTGGGCTGCTCCGGCTGCTTCTTCACGTAGCCAAAGGCCTCGTTGACCTTGGCTATCTGCTCGAGGATGCGCTTGGCCTCGTCCGCCTTTTCCGAGGACGGAGGCGCCGCACTGGGCTCAAACTCCTCGGGAAATTTTACGAGCCGCTGCTTCTGAATTCTGCAAACGAAAGTGGGGTTGTTTGGTGGTCTCTCTCTCTGTCTTAGTGAAGATAGCTTCTAGGGGCTAATGCAGGGGAATGTGTAGTTGGGTGGGGGGCAATGAGTTATATGGGGTTAGTCACAAGTCTGGTTTAGTCACAAAGATCTAGGCGAGCGCATCAACTTCTACTTGGAATGAGCAATTAGCGTTGACACAGTCACATTTGGCAGGCAAGGCATTTTTGGTTGTTAATCGGGGGTCTTAGGACTGGGTAACTAGGTACTAGGCTACTTACTCGACCGCCAGTCCACCGGATTGTTGGGCCTGGCTGAGGGCCAAAGAGGCCAGGAGCAGTGTTGAAAGCTGAAAGATAAAGGGGTGACAATAAGTGATTGATCTTGTATTCCGCCCAATAGATATGGTTTATATGGTATTCCGATGTCGTAATAGATGCAAGAGGTACACGAATGGAATGCGGTCAAGTCCCTCGCGAAAGTCTTTCCCTCGACTCCTCCAGAAAATTTGCATAATTTCTTGTGCTGATTCGAAAAGTGAGAGCCAGCTGGCGAAGAACACCTGATGTGCGTGTACTTCTCGGCGGATTTTCCCTCTACACATGATTGTCAAGAACCTCACGATCGGCAAATATTTGACTCACTCTCACCGGCTCTCCACATCTTTGGCGAAGTAAAGTCAATATTGACGCAACCGTTAACCAGCACGCCCATCTATCACCACCGAAATGTCACTAAGCCGAGAGGAACTGAGACCCAAGAGCCAAAGCTAAAGCTGGATCTGATTTGGAGTCTGAGTCTGAAGTCGGGGCTCGTGTTGTGTCATTGACCTGAACCTCTAGGCGTCTGTTACGATTTCGGGCCAAAGCATAGCTCGAAAAAAAAGAACTGATTCTGGCCAAGAGGCTGTCGAACCTGGTCCCTCGTCATTGATTTGCAAGATCTCCTGCATCCCTCAGTCTTGGTCTTAAGATATATTTCCGTCCGCTTTCTTTTGTGGCTGTATTGCCTTATTTATAAGAACGAAACTTGGTCTCGGGTGTGTCTTGTCCAAAAATAAACTGGGTTAATGGCTCGAATGCAAAGTTGAAGCGCTGCGTTTTATGTCCTCAAACAAGATATAAAGGTTCTCTTCTTTCGATCAGGTGTCTCTTTTGGGTAAATGATAATCCAGAGATATTCTGATGGAGCTAATTGAGCAGAGATTGATGGTCTTTAAGGCTGGGACGTGAGGTTTACCTGTCTATACACCCATAAATTGATCAATTTATGAACCACTATCAACACGATTGAAGAGTCGTAGAGAAACTAATGCACCTATATCTTAAGAACCCCACACAAATGTGCTCGATTGTTTAAATAGTGGGTAGTGGGCCGAAAGAAAGAAGATATTTATTACCATTTGTTAGCCCACGCATGATTTTCTTACGTTTGTAGCATATTAATTTTATGTTCTTCGAGTCATAATTAATTTTTGGTCTTTTCATTGTAAATGTTCGTGAGGCTTATGGTTATAATTGAATGGTATTGTTCCTTATAAAACAGGCGCTGGCCAGTTTTGACTTTTAAGGGCGTACTTTTCTTAATGGGATTATGAATAATGCAGGGGATAATACGCACATTTCATATGAATCATTCTCACTTTTTAATTTAGGGTGGGGCTAGAATATTGTCACGTTCCGATGGAGTTAAAAAAAGGTTTTTCACTTTTCAAAAGGGATTAAGTCTTTTAAAGCTTTCACAAAGAGAGCCTAACCTTTTGATTGTTAAACAAAAGACTTAATAGAGTTCTTGGCATTCAAATTGATTTGTGATTATTATAATGCCTAAAAAAGATTCTAAGCACATTAACAATATTTGCATATGGCACAGGGCATAATTAAGGCTAATTTCCGTGGCCAGAAGAAGCTAAGAATCGCGGCAAGAACCTAAAATGTCGCTTAGTGAAAGTTCATTTCAATTCAGAAGTGAAAGAAACGAAAGACTCAAGGCACGAACTTGGGTCAGTTGACGAGATAATGAGCTCGACGGCGGCACAGAGCAATAACTGATTAATTGCGGTCAGGTATAAACTAGTTTCGTTTCGAATTCCCAAAAAGTGAATAAGTTTTCTTTTTTACTTACAGCAAGGAAGCGCATTTTTATGACAAATTCTGTTGAATAGTTTCAGATATTTTACTGGATTCTTGGCAGCCTTGACAGAATATCCTTGAACTGCAAAACGAGAAACGGTATGAGTGGCACTCTGAATGATCACGATTAAAAATCACACACACGGTTGCACTAAAAGCCAATCCTGTTAAGCTTTCAATTTACGATTGTTTCAGAACCGTGTTCTTTGCGGTTTTTATTTTTTGTATCACGCACTATAAAAAAGGGACTGGATGTGGGCCTCCTACCAAGAACCAAGAGCCAAAAGCCAGCGAGCCAGACGACGACTGAAGATGAACTGAGTGCTGGCCGGGCCCAGCGCGTCTGTTTATAACATTTCCATTAGCGATGCAAACGACGAGGCGAAAGAAATGGCCAAGAAAACAGGGCCCGATTCAGGTGTAAGAGAATTGTGCTTTTGGCTGATAAAAAAAAAGAGAGAGCCGAAGAGAAAACAGAGTCTTAAGCACGTAGACGAGCGCCTTGGCCTGGCTTTTATCTGGGGGCGTGGATCAGTGGGATACGCTTACACAGGGGTAACCAACTTCAATTGATATTCAGGCTTCCAACTCTAGGATTTCGCAGATGGAAATCTCTTGGGTCCCTCCCCTTTGCCTAGGCTAACACATAGTTTGCCTAACATATCGCCTATTTCGCCAAAAACCATGTATAGTATGTGCTGACAGGGGCTTCTCCTTCACGCTACTGTTTCGCACCTCTGTAGAATCGCCTAGCTAGAATCCAGAAACACTACGCTGACTTTGATTAATTGGCCGTTTATTGGCTTGATTGAGTGTGACGGTGTCTGGCCATTACAAGTGGAGTGAGCCCCCAGAATAGAAGCGAAATGCGTGTGGGAAGTTGGAGAGGTAATCAGCTCGGAACGGGCCCCGAAAAAACATGACATAAGCCAAAATGGTAAGGGTCTTAAGAATCATGCTTGTTGGGCAATTCAATTAAAATGTTTGCCTGGAACTCGTTAGAAAGTTTCGCACAAAGCGGCTGCTTAAGAATCTTGTTCTTTTTCTGATTTGATTTGATTGGACAGCGAATTCGGCGTGAAGAATTCACACACTTCTCGGGTATCAACAGATGTCAGGATTAAGGCTTAGCTTCGGGGCACTTTTGATGGGTAATCATAAATAAGAAATGTTGCAGATCAGGAGAATTGATTTCCATTTCGAGTTCGTGCCTTAAGTCATTTGTTTTCTTGGCTAAGCAAAGTCTTTATCAGCCCAGAACCATTAATTTTCCAATAAACTGCGTTGTGATTCGACTGCATTGTATTCTTTTATTGGTTTTTAGGACCGCAGGCAGCCAGCCAGCTACTGATTTCCGAAGTGCAGGCAATAATAATGCATATTTCTTGATTAACCAGGATCGAGCTCGGGGCTCGACCTTTGTGGCACACGCACTGGGATCGATAAAAGTGCCACAAGATTTATGGTTTCGAATGTGCAGCGCCGGGGGAAGCATACGAAATTAGCAGCAACACGTTGTAAATGCAAAGGCCCGAATGCGCCACACGCACCACCTGATCCACAATTGGAATGCAGCAATCAAAAGGCGATAAATCGAACCCCGGCAGAAACCCAAGCAGCCGAGGAGTTGAAGACCCAAGACTCAGAGACCCAGAGACCTTGGGGCCTATTTATAAATGCAGGCGAAACGGGACTGCTAGTGGGATGTCGTTGCCTAGGCCTGGGCCAATTAAGTCTGACCTTCGGCGAGGAGGAGAGCTCCAGCCCAAGCAAACCGTTGTTTATGGGGGGGTTTCGGTATAATATGGTATGGTATGGTACATGGTATGGTATAATAAAAAGAAACAGCTAACTGGCACCTGGGAGAGCCGGGGCCCCAGTAATTTGTGGTTCCAATGCAGGCTGCTATGCTAACCCAATTATGCACCTCGGCTATTTCCCAGGTGAGCCATTGATTCCACGCTGAGAACGTGGCCAAACGAACCAAACAAACCCTAGAAGTATAATCTATGTCAGTGGCAAGCTTTTTAGTGCTCTTCTGTACGTTCTTTTACTGCATTCGCCGAAGAAAGTTTTCGGAGTGCGTAGGAACTTGTTTCGGGGAAATTAACCGCTTAGATCTCTTGACATCAAACTTAATTGTGACAGTGAAACTTTCGGTCAAACAGGCCTCTGTAATAATTGTATTAGTTTTTTTTGCAGATATGCATATTATTTTGGGCTTTTCTTTGTTTTGAACGGCTCTGAAATATACCCATATTTTATTTAGGCCACGATTTGGACGCCAAGGCTTTCCGTTCGATTCGAATTATTTGGCAAGTGCGCGCACGCGTCGAACATTTCAAATGCTGTATTATTTTTGGTCTCTTTTTTTGACAAGAAATTACCCAAACAAAAATAAATAAATGCCAGAGCTGACTCGATTTGGCTTTGGGATGCACTAGCCATTTGTAAAATGATTTTGTCCGGCCATTTTTATGAGCGGATAATCAATTAGGGTTTATAAAGTGCATAAATTTAACAGGCAGACTCGAGCCAAAGCACGCGCCCAAACAATTAAAGCTCTTACAACCATTTACGATCAGAAACTGACAATGTTTGCCATTAGATACTTTATGCAAAATTATATGTGTAGGAAAAGAAATAAAAGTATTGCATTGCACCCACGCTTTACGGTTTTAATATTGCTTATATTACCATATCGATGGACTACGAATTTTCGCATTTTATATAAAAGTCGAATCTTGGACATTCTTTAATACTCTTTTTATCCCAATAGATTTCTTGTAGATTTTTAAACTGTAACTTGACCGAATGGCGCCGAAGATAAGATAAGTAATATATTTATATTTTAAACTTTCCAACTTAAGATATTTAAAAAATGGCGCTAATACTCTAAAAAGTTTAGAGCAACCGTATTCATTTTTATAAAGGCTTACAATCTTACAAGTTAAAAATGGCGTATTACTACACCCAGGAAAAAAGGCTACAAAAATCATGAATATTTTTAAAGGCTTAACAACAATCCGTTCTCATTTTTTGATTTTTAAAATTTCTAACTTTGAACTTTCTGGGACAAATCATGAATTTATAGAACGGCTTATTTTCTGAGTGTAGATATCTGTACCCGTTAGCTGCTAGTCACTCATTCTTGAACTTCAGCTACCTGCATTTAAGGTCCCCGATCACGTAGATGTCAGACATGACAGTTGACGCTGTCAGATCTCCAAAAAGTTGCACTAAATAACACAAAACACCCAAGTAGAACGAGCAGTAGTTGAGTTCAGCAAATTTGTTTATTTACGTGTAGCCACGATAATTATGCAACTCTTCAAAGCCTGTCAAGGCATTTGTTTGGATTCCGTTTCCGATTTCGATTTCCGAGTGGGGTTCGGCGGTGGTGGCCTTGGCCAAATTGCCACCCATGACCACAAATCCGATGCCGGCACCCGCCTTGTAGCTCAGCTCATGGTAGCCGGCCTCATCGTAGTAGGAGTACCTGCCCAAGACATTTCCCGACTCATCGGTGTGCTGGGCGTGGGACATCTGGTGGGTGCTGAAATCAAAGTTTTGTCGGGTCTGCTGGGGTTTCAGATGGTTGGGTATTCCTGTTTGGTAACCTCCAGTCAGCGAGGAGGTTGCCTGTGTATTATAAGAAATCCTGGAAAGAGGATGAGTCCTAGTTCTCAGAGCCTGCTGCACAAATTGAAGGGGGCCAAAGGAGTCCAGGGATAATGCCCCATAACTAGGGGCTACATCACTTCTATCCGTATCGTAGGAGTATCCCTGTCCATTGAACTGCATATAGACCTGGGCTCCTTGAACACTCCAAACTCCCAGCAGACCAATCCAAAGCAACAGCATCTTGTTTTCAGTCTGAAAACCAACTAAACTCTGGGCAGGCAAAGCCAAGGGTTTATATGTAGATCCAAGGAAACCGCAATGAGCAGACCAACCTGCCGAACGCACCCTCCACGGATATCATATAACTTTCGGTTAGAGATATAGATTGAAATACACATATAGGCATAAAATGTATTCCGCTTTAAATACTGTTACAGTTTCCATGTGGAGTCAACCCAGTTTCGGTTACTTAACACTGATCACTTAGGGCTACGCACTACGAGCTACAGATCCAATCAGTGCTCCCTGGAGGCATTCAGCTCGGCGATCTCGTCCTGACGCAGTGCCTCCGAGGGCGAGATACCGATCCTTCCACCCAGGGGCACTATATCGATGTTTTGGACATGGGCACGGACACTTTGGCCAGGCGGCAGACCCACATACCATTTGCCCACGTTCTTGATCACCGTCGAGTCACGATGCCGTTGCACCCACTCCCTATCCCGATCGATCTCCAGGATGCGGTGGTTGGCGGTGACCAGGGGAGGCAGTGAACTGCCCACATCATCGTCGTTGAGGTGGTAGTTGTCCCCGGGTCCACTGATGGCACTGGTGCCCGATCCACCTGTGGGCGGCAGGTAGCCCAGGCCAGAGTCGCCTTCGCCGGAGGCACCACCTCCACCTCCTCGGCGACTGCCTCCTCCGCCGGCTGCTTCTCCTCTTCCTGCTCCCCGCTCAGCAGAGGCACTTCCTCCTCCACCACTACCAAAACGGTTTCTGTTTCTCGAACCACTAGCATTGATCCTTGTGGAACCACTACTACCACCACCACTACCACCTCTCTGGGAGCCACCGCCCCCACCATCGTATCTAGTGCTGCCTCGTTGGGAACTTCCCGCTGGGAATCCCCTTCGATCTTCCTTGCCATTGAAGCTGGTGGAGCCAGAGGAACTGCTGCTAAGTCCAATGTCATCCCCTTGGTTATCATCAGGAGATCCGAGATCATCATCTGCTGCCCCATCTCCATCACCCTCCCCTTGATCTCTTGGTCTTCCACCATCGGCTGGCTTTAGATATTCTTTGCCACCTGGTCTACTTGGAGTGCGACCCCTGCCTGCAGCACCTCCAACCCCACTTGATCCTGCTGCTCCACCTGCTCCTCCCGAACCACCTGATCCTCCCCCACCTCCTCCTTTGGGACCCAAACCGCCACCTGCTCCCCTACCAAAATCATTAGCCAACCGGAAATCCGGATCTGCCAGGCGGAAATCCGCCACGGACGGATTGATGTGCGTGCCTGGACCAATGCGGTTGTGCACCACCCTGTAACCTATGCCCGCTCCTGCTATGTACTCCACTGTCCGCTGCACGCCCTTGTCGTCCAGGAAGGAGTAGGTGCCCCGCACCAGGCCATCGGGAGCTCGACTCTCTGCCCTCCGGTGATCTGGACCAGATGCGATCAGTTTGTAGCTACCCGCCGGTCCCCTTTGCACCGCCATCTTGCCACGAGTTTTGGGATGGGACTTGTACAGGGGGCTGGAGTAGGCCACCGTGGATGGACTGTCCGGCACAGCATTGGAGATCTCGAAACCGGTTCCAGCTCCAGCTGCATAGCGGACACTGTGACGCTCGCCCACGTCGTCCAAGTAGGAGTACAGTCCTGAAATATAATAGGAATATGATATTACAAGAAGATTATAGATTGCGATCCCAAATAACTCACCCCTTATCCTGTTGCCCGAATCATTCTCCTCGCTGCGTGATTGATCTGGTGTTCGAAAACTAAAGCTGTAGGATGGATCGTCGAAGGGATCGGCCAGTGGATCGTCGGGACTTCCCCGGGGCAGTACCGGATACTGGGCCAGGTCCATTTTGCGATGGATCTTCGGTCCGTTCACGCGAAATCTGTATGGGAAACGGGGCATTGATTAATTAGCTGCCGATCACAATGACTGAGGGATTGGGTAAACCGCTTCCCAACCAACGGAAGCGGATTCGCCCTGCAATTCCGTGTATATATAGATCCGATCTGAACCCGGCACGTCGTTACTTTGATTACCCCACATCTCAGGGAACGATCCCATTCAGAATCATCGCTATCGCTGAGCATCTACAATCCACAATCCTATACTTTTTGCTCGCAACTCTCAGGCCAGTCAATTTGTTAACAGCTTTTTGCTTCCCCCAATTTACCGGAGATTGCAAAAAACAACAGTAGCCGAAGCGGTAATGGAAAAACGTTTAGGCAACGCCACAAAAACCCGTCCAATGTGTTAGAACGGCTCCAACTCCCAACGGTGGCTTTGGTGGATTCGCTTCAGTGGCCGCCGCCTGCCGCCAACCGCTGATATATGAGCTCAACTCTGACATCGAGGGGAGATAACTCACTTTGTGCTGCCACTTCCTCCAACGCCAATGCACTTGAAAAACTAGTCACTGAGTATAAGAACTACCTTTCTATTTGGATTCTTCTTGAATTTAAAAGCAATTACTATTAACAACTTCATTAACTTTGAAAACGATAAGTATTTTTCCCAAAAATTATTTTATGGTTTTTAGCCCCAATAAAAATTACATTTTTTCTTAAATTAAATCTAATTATAAGAAAATATATAATCATAAGAATATCTTAAGCGTTTGTTAATAATATTTTTTGTACCCTCTTGAAACCTTCTTGTAATTTATATATTTTTTGATTAAAAATATATAAAAAAAAATTTTTTTTTTTAATTTTAAGAACTAAAATACTTTCAGTTTAGAGGTTACCAGTGTGTGTAAGGGGTTCCAAATAAATTCAATACCAAATATCAAGTCTCTGTAATACAACCAAAGAATTTGGTTTAAAAAGCATTAAAAACTTTATGAATTTTTCAAAAAGATTTGAAGCACCGACGGATTTTTGAACGGCTTAAAAACCAACAGTTTCCAAAACGCCCATATGTGAAAATCGAACTTTACTTTAATACAATATATTAACGCATAGAAAATTTTTAAATTTTTAGGAATTTAGCTTTCCTAAAAGAACAAGGTTCTGAAGTCTTCTACCTTTCTTGCTAAAAATTCGTAACTTTCAAAATATTTCCTCCCAGTGCACCACCGCACTTTGCCCACTCTTCTTGGGCGTCTTCGATTACTCACCCACGTGGTCCGGCTGTGTAGACGGTCTCCTCGATCTGGCCGCTCGCCGGACTCCGCGAACCGTAGCGACCTCGCACGGTGTTGTCCGGAGTGCCCGAGGCGCTGTGATAGTAGCCGCCAATGTCATCATTTGCATGTCTTTTGGCCGATCGGTAGCAGCGGTGTATACCAGGTATATCCATTATCCATTTGCACCAGTGGAGTTTCCATCGAAGCACAAGTAATTGCGTTGCCCCATGCGTGCGAATTGAAGAGGGAGAGATGGTCGGAAGCGTGTTATTGTTGAGGTTGCAAAACGTAAAGGCGTTAAAGAGGTGCTAAAAATCTCAAATTTGCTCGGGTGTGATGGTGAGGTAAAAAACATCATTGACCGATTAGACGAATTGTTAGGTTTATGACCCATGGCTGCTAAAAAACTGTAATTGAGATGTTCTATTTTTATGGAATGCTATTCCATTGAATAAGGCAATCTGTTTGAGATGTGAAATACAAAAGTATATAAATGTATTCTTTGGATTGACTAAATACTACTAATTATTGGGTAAGCTTTCAGTATTGAGGTCCTTATTGTTATAACCATATTATGAGTAAAGATGATAAGTAGCAAGAACAAGTTACTAATTCAGTTCTATCGAAAATCTACTTAGTTTTTTAACGGTCTATAAGAAACATAGCGATCAATTAGCAATAAGATGTTAAAACACCATTAAAAAAACCTGTTGCTAAATATATGTTTTGTGGAAATACAATCATATTTTCATGATGTAAAAACATAAACGTTTTTAAATGGGTTTCTTATTAAAATTATACATATTTTAAACTAAATTTGAAGTCAATTCCTACAACAATTGTGAAAAAAAGAACTTGATAATCCTTATATTTATATAGAACGTCCATAGACTTTTATTCGAGGATTAAATTGAAAGTGTAATGAGTCACAAGTTTCGGAAATATTCAAAGATCATTTTAAGGATCACTTTTCTCTTCAGTCCTTTCATAGCTTTTTCAAAACTTCACAATCACTCTTCGTAATACCGAAACTGAAAAGATCCATCCTCGTTGATGGTGTTATATTCGATTTCCGCTCTCGCAGGATGCGCAAAGTATCCCAATAGAGCGCAGAGGAACCAGAGGAAATTCAAGTGCCGATGCAGGTGCAGCATCTTCAAATCGCATTTGTTTTAATCCAGTGCAGAGATCGAAGGGGCTTCAAACGAGCATCCTGTCACAAGCACAATCACAAAATAAATTTCTATTCCCCCAACCGATGCGATGCGATGCGGTCCGATCGAACCCCAAACCAAACTGAGATCCCGACCTGAACTATGGTATGGTATACGTATATGGTATTTAGGAGGAGCTAGCGGCTAGAACAACGCGACGACGACGACTGATGCGATCCAGCGTTAGACCTTCGTATTTAAATACGATTCTCAGGCGACTCGGTGAGCGGTTCGTGCGGCATTGTGTGGTGGTGCTGGTGGAGCTAGTGGTGCTGCCGCCACTTGTCTCACCTGACCACCCACCGAAAAGAGCCACAGCCACGAAGATGAAACAGCAGCATTTGTGTGCAAATTGCGTTACAAGAAAATCATGGGGGGGGGGGGGGGTGCTCAGTTCAGTTGGGAGTTCAGGTGAGAGAATTTGTTCTAATGATGGACACGCAAGTGTTGTTGCAGCTGCACTCCAGCCTGCTGGGTTGTTTATTTTGTGGCTCCTTGTTCGCCAGTTTGGGGGGGGGGTATCTAGGGGGAGATGGAAGGAAAATGGCCAGCGGAAAATGGAAAATCGTGCCTGTGTAGCTGTCTGTCAATTAGCTCACGTTGTTCTTGTTCCCCGAAGTTGCAACCTGGAGAGCTTCCTGTTGACAATTCCCCTTTCCCCATCTCAAAATCCAGCCACTAAACATTGAACTTCAGCGCTGAGGATTGAATTTTCCATTTTCCATTTTCCGTTACCCGGGGCTTATTACAAATTCGATCCAGAGCGAGTCTAGGTCAGTGTCTTAGCTGCAATTTTCGGCCAGCTATGCAATTAAAGGCAATTACCCGTCGGCTGGAAGGAGATGAGATAGAACTTTATGACAATTTCCGCCTAGGATCTTGGGCATTTTAATGAAGCATAATTAGCGTGGCGACGCTGGCCACTTCCAAGTACAGTTATTGGCCATTGTTCTGGGTTCTAGACGGACTGTTTGGGACTGTTTTGGCTGTTCTGGCTCTTGGGGATGTGTCAGGCCCTCTGATTAGACCGCCCCGCTTGGCTGCCTTTAAGTTCTGCTTATAGTTTATGGTTCTGGCCAGCCCATATGCCCCACTACCGCCTTTGATAATCTTAATGGTTATTAATTTTTTTTTGCCATATATGCAAATTGGGCAAAAGGCGGAAGAGTTTTCTAGGGGGCCCCACCCATCGGTTAATTGTGCACTCAATCGGAGCGAGTGCGTTCCTAACATAACCGAATTGTAATCGCACAACCGCAGAGACAATGGAACGAAACCTAATGCGATCGGAGAGCCATATGGCTATATGGGATAGCCATGATATATGGCCGCTGCCAATGACCATGTTCAAAGGCATGTGGTTGGGGCTTTAAGGACAAGTTTCTAACGGACTGCACGCATGGGAAATGTGCAACCAGTTGTGGCAGTTGCAAATGCAGTTTGCCATTGAACCACATACCCATAGAGCAAAAAATACAGCAAAACTGGAAATTCATAAGTGGCGAGTGTGGGCCATCCCGGCCAGGTTTGACTCGAAAAAGTGAAAATGCTTTCGTTTTCATCGCGGTCATTTCTTGGGGGGACATTCATTTGACAGCAGCCAAGGCGTTCGGATCGGTCCAATTAATCGAAAAATTGCCATGAGGATTACACAACTGTTATATATCTTGAGTGTGGTTATCGCATCGATCGAGGCGGTGGAATATCTAATTCGCTTCGAGACGAAGAAGGACAAGTGCCTGAATCCACCCAGAACGGCCAGGAAAGTGGAGACGGTGATTGGCGAGTGCCAGGATGAGGTCCGCAATAAGTTGGTTAATGGTGGGCCCTAAAATCGGTGGTTAGTTTTCCAATACTAAAAGGTTTTTCAATCCCCAAAATGCAGAGGCCTATGAGATACTCAAAGAGCAGGTGTCCCACAAGCAACCGCCCATCGATCCCCACGACGACTCCATCGACTTCATCTGGCCCTCGGCTCACGGGGTTTCCGGTGGCACTTCCATAGTTCATCCTTCCAGGCCCAACCACTATGAATATTTAGTCTACGACGAACCCGAACCACATCGCCATATGGCCAGACTGATGAGGAACATCCGACGCCTGGATGTGACCAGTTCGGGCATATACCATCCCACTTTGGTGCCTTTGGAAGACAAACGCATTGCTGGGGTAAGTAACCACTCGAAACTCAGACTTGTAGATCGCTTTTCTTCTCGTGTTAATGAAATGCAAAAACGACGCTCAATTAAGTTCAATGGCAGCCCAAGAAACAATTGGCAAAACCCCCACTTTAGCTCAGCCAGCAAAGCCTAAAGTCAGGGTTATTAGACAATCGAAAGAAAAGCGCAGCCGCATTTTCAGTTGCATTCATAATCACACGCCTCCGGCGGAGATTTTTTCGCACACCTCTAGCAATGCTGAATTTGATGGCTGAAAAGCGCACTTTATGGCGGCACTTAATACACATTAGCTGGCTTTATGCATCAGCAAATTGAATGTGCATAAAACCCTATACTTCCTACACAGAAAGAAATATAGCAGTCACAGCTGTATCTCTGCCTTCAAGTTTATTGTAGGGTGATTCATCTCTAACTTTAAAACATTCATGAAAATATCAACTAATATACATAGATGAAATATATGTGTAAAAAGAGATATATCGGTATAAAACATTTAAAATGAATATTCTGTATGAACAAAGGTTCCATTAAAATTCAGATAGAACAAAGATATATTAATTCCGGAGTGTCTTGTAAGGAGATACTGATAAGAAATCTCTATTATACTTCCATTTTTTTCCGTGCATTTATTAAATTTTCTTCTATTTGAATCCATTCCTCAGATAAAACACCTTTATTATGACCTCTTTTTATTTTCAGTGCCTGCTGCATTGCGTTTATGCCAAGAACAACGCCATCGACCAGAAGGGTTGGCCCACCTTGGACGGACTGGTCCACTTTTACTCCGAGGGAGTCCACGAGCACGGGTTCTTCATGGCCACCTTGCGGTCCGTGAACCTCTGCCTCCGGACAATGACCGCCCGGTACGGAGTGAACCGCAAGGAGCTGCCCAAGAAAGGTGAAAGCTGCGATCTGGCTTTTGATGTCTTCGACTGCATATCTGACCAAATCACCGGCTACTGTCTGGATCAATACAGCAGATATTAATAAGTTAGTCAGACTAGTGTGCTTCGTAAATAAATGTTTAGTGCAAGCTGAATTCCAGTTTGTTTTGAGTCATGCGGTGACCATTGGTCTTGGATACCATGTAGGTGATTTGATAAATTGGTGGAAATGATTGAACATCACCTGTGCTTGAATATACGTTTTTCTTTCGCAAATGTATAAAATAAAAGATAAATACTGTGCAGATCCAATTCTATGGAGCTATTAAAATTTTAGTAAGGGATTTTACTTAATTAAGAAATTTCCAATAAGAAAATTTAATAGAAGATTATAAAATTTAAATAATTGGTGAGTCCTTGGAGCCGAATATTTGTTACTTCCTTATGAAATATATTTACATTTTTGTACTTTATAAGCCATAAACAAAATTAAAAATTTTTACCCGAGCTACCATAATTATTTTCTTAAGAAATAGAGACGAAAACAATGTATCTTAAAACAAGGAAGAACGCTATAGTCGAGTACCTCGACTATCAGATACCCGTTACTCAAGGGGAAATGGAGATAGGCAAGCAGCAAAGCGAAATTAAAATGCGCCACCTACCGGCGGTAGACAGATTTAAGCGTTATGGGCGTTAGAGTGGGCGTGGCAAATTTATTTTTGGATCAATCGATAGGTATTGACGACACCAATACATTTCAGTTCAAATTTTTCATCTAGCATCAAAATTGTGGGCGTCACAGGTTTTCGCGGTTTGTGGGCGTTTAAGTGGGCGTGGCAAACTTTTTTTTAGGTCAATCGATAGGTATTGATGAGAACAATACATTTCAGTTAAAATGTTCTATCTAGCATCAAAACTGTAGGAGTTTCAGTTTTGGGCGGTTTGTGGGCGTTAGAGTGGGCGTGGCAGTCTACTGAAACAAACTTGCGCTGCGTAAGAAGCTCAGGAATCTGTACGCCAAATCTCAATAGCCTAACTCTCATAGTTTCCGAGATCTCAGCGTTCATCCGGACAGACAGACGGACAGACGGACAGACGGACAGACGGACAGACGGACAGACGGACATGGCTAGATCGACTCGGCTAGTGATCCTGATCAAGAATATATATACTTTATGGGGTCGGAAACGCTTCCTTCTGCCTGTTACATACTTTCCGACGAATCTAGTATACCCTTTTACTCTACGAGTAACGGGTATAATTAATGTAACGGAAAGCGTTTTAAATCTTTGAAAATTATCTACATATATTTTACGTGATGCACCTGGTGAAGCTTCCCGCAGTGGCGCCATCTCGTGTCAGAAATTAAAAATTAGTGTGACCACCTCTTTGGCAACCATAAATATCCTCAAAGCGCCATACCTACGACTTATTATCGATATGTTTGCCCCATCACTAACGCAAAAAGTTTTCGGCTGTAGAAACGTAAATATTTCACCTTTTACCTAGTTTTAAGGAAATAAAGTGCGGTAAAATTGTTAAAAGTGCTGTGGGTTATGGGCGACCTAGTGCTAGTAGTGCCATTTTCGGGAAACCTGTATTTCGCTTGTTTTTCTTTTGGCCCACATTCGAGGCCCGCTTTTCAATCATGTGGAATTCCAGGAATTACCAGCAGCGTTTCTGCGATCAATATGCCCCAGCCGCGTGTTCCCCTTTCGGAAAAGTGCAAATTGCAATCTTTAAATAGGGTTTTTCCAGGGTTTTCTCCGAGTTTCAAGGACTGTTCTTATATAATGTCTTATAATGCGAAAAGTGCAGCTGGGCGGCTCTTGGAGGAAAAGCGCTTGCGCCGGTTGCCCCCAAAAGAAAAGTGTAATTCGCAATGCAAAACAAGCGACGACGTCACATGTGATTTTGTAAAATAAACTTGGCGCATTGATGACGCAATTGAGCGAGTGCCGCGTGTGCTTTTTCTCCGACCGCCTAATGAATCATCAATACAAAAACTAAAAGATAAAACGCATAGAAAGCGGCCGCGTTGTCTGGGGAAGCACAGCTAGATATTGTTATAGAACAAAGTGGAACATCCGCCACAACCTATTAAAAGCCAGCAGCAAAGACCCCAGATCGGGAGTAGTAACCCCCATAGTAATACTAACACCCCTTCCCCTCCCCCTTTGAACACTCTTCAATTACCTCATGCTTGTGGCCCTCTCTTCTTCTTCTGGGGGCTCGTCTAGGGTTTTCAATGGAATGCAGTTGCAGGCTGGTTTTGGGACATGCTAAGCAAGGCTCCCAACCTTATTGATTGCCCCTTATTTACCTTCTTATACCCTTTAATAGGGTATCATAACTTTAGAAATATTCAAAAAATATGTTTGCACAAATAGAGGAAAATTATTTCGAAAACCTGTACATATAGATAGCGGGTACCACCTATAAGGTGGTGGTAGATTAAATAAAATGTTCCAAAATTAAACTTATTCGAACTAAATAGTATTTTTTACATAGGTCTGTAATTTTGAGTTCTATATACAAAGATACAAAAATACATTCTTAAATGCAGCAGTGACAGCATTATTATTATTATCTTGAAAAGAAGGATAATCGCTATACACTGCTAAACCATTTACTTATAGGGGTTTCTATATTCTTAAAGAAAACGTTTTTTTTTTAATTATAAATCTAACTAAGAACCAAAGTGGTTTCTTTAAAGAGTATTTAAGATTTGGTGCTTACCTAATTTCCTACCCTCACTCGAGGTAAACTGTTAAATTAATGTGACTCGTTTGTGAACTTGAAACTGTATTGATTAGCGGATAAGTAATCGATACACACGCACGAATTCACTTACACTTGGCCGAACCTATTAGATACACAGCGAGAAATAAAGTTATTATAGATTCCTTTAAACTTATGCATAAAAATGATTTTAAATATTTTGTAATATTAATAACAATCATAAATAGTATTTAATATTTAAACATTATAAATGGCACGGTTCCACCTGAAAACATATACTTTTTCAAAAACACTCATTCCGCTCTCGATACTGTATGGATATTTTGTTTAATATTATGCATACCATACCTTTCACTCTCTAGTTCCACCTCCTCTTTCTCTTTTTTGTGTGGGCGGCATTATTTCAAACAGTCAGCCGGCTGACGAACGGACTTTGAAATTGTTGTAAACAAATTCGGGCTATAAATACGTGAGACTTGGGGAAAATACAGGAGGAGGGGCGGTTAGATAAGCGCAGGAAGTTCGGCCGATCGGCCGATATATGTGCTAAGTACCTGACCGTTATCAGGTCCCTCGACCGAAGACCCAACCCCCTTTTACCAGAAGATAAAGACACAACGCCGAGTTGTCATGTGCCCGCTTTGTGTGTGTTTTTTATCACACACTCTGTGTTTTCCTTCCAATTTTTCACCCCGCTCGGCGGCGGTTCGTGAAGAGCAAAAATTCGATTTCTAAATTTTGTATTTCACTCTCGAAGGCGGTCGCTTTTTGTATTTTCGCTTCAGTCGACGCGCAGCACTCAGCACGAACAAACGTTTGACGCGTATCTGTGAGATACGGATACGAGTGCGACGAGTACATATATTCGGTTGGTTTTTTGGAGCAATCCGCACGCAGTATACGGCGTATATATTAATATATTATACGGTGCTTGTTATTCCACCGCAGTGCAGTGTATATATAGAGTCGGTCGGATCGCACTCCCCTTGGCACAAAATTTAAATGGATTTTTCCAGTCATGCTCCGAATTGTGGGAACTGCAGGCTCATCCAGCGAGCTATTTCACACTAATTAGCTCCATCTGGGCATTCTAATATTTAGCTGCTCTCACGCGAGTCTCTGGTTTTTTGCACTTATGTAATGTGTTTTCGTAACATCAGCGACGACGTCGAGCAGAATATAATTGCAGGGAAAGCAGTATGTGAAAAGCGCCAGCACAAAACAAGCAAACAGATAAATAAACACTGAACAAAACTGTCACGCTGCTAAATTGAATTATCTTTTCAGGGGCTGTAACTGTATCTGTATCTGTAACTATTACAAAACCAAAAAACCCCGAGTGCTGCACTTTCAAATACTCAACTTTGACCGCTCCAAAACGGTTGGCCGTTCCCATTGTTTTCTTTCTTTCATTTTTTCCCCCAAGTCTGGGGGCCAGGGTTTTGTAATCATTTGATTTGGATCGTCTAAGCAGCATGCGTGCGTCGATAAGACATGTGACCTGGCCACGCCTTCCTTGCCCCCTCGGTTCCCATTCCGAATTTCAATTTGTATTTTTTTTGCACGACTGGCCTAAGATAGGGATCCAATTACGACATCCGCACGCGCGGCCCTATCGCTAATAATTTGATTAATAATTTGACAAATTCTGGAAGTGCTTGCGTGGCATGATCGGCATTGGAGGCCGGTTTACCATCTTATCGTCGAGTAGCGTCTAGAGGCTTCTGCGTTTAGTCATGGGCCGCAGGAATTTATTACTCCGACCCAGGGACATTCACACTTGACGTTTTAGCCTTATCTGGGCAAACTCGTTTCAGTCTAAATAACAAAAAACCTGGATTCGGAGATGGCAAACAAAAGGCCAGGGCAAATATTCACAACTGATTAAAAGTTGGGAAACGAATAAACTGCGCAAAAAGCAGCTGCTCCTCCTTCTCCTCCTCTTCCACCCTATATAAACCCCATTTCACCATTATATTTGGGGGGCCAAAGTATCTCCGCCATTTCTTGGCTGATTATCAAAAAGACGAGCGGCCTGTCGAAACCAGCCCACGTTAGTTTGACGTCATCGGCGGAATCAGCAGGCGTACCTCGTCACGTGTGCTTTGTTTTGTCAAGCGGTTCCCCGATCTCGGCGGTCTAGTCTAGCTTTAGACGTATGTAAATTTCCCTCCAACAAAAACCCACAACACCCCTACTCCGAACTTGTTTCGTGCGGGAATTTCATAACTAGCCCGTCGGCCTGGCAACAAGTTATTCGGTGATCGGTGACACAGTTAAAACGGAGAACATGACCATGACGTAAAGACTTCTAGGCTATCTTATCGCTCCTACAGCAGCCGAGGGTCAGGGGTTCGGTGTTTAGTGGGTGGTGCTGCAAGCCACTTGTTTGTCAACAA